CCAATGTGTTTGTTCTCTGTAATTGCTTTTCTGAATTAAAATGTGAATTTTAAAAAAATGACTGCTTTACTAGATATATCACTCATTCATTCCTACTTCCTAAAAATATAAATTACATTTAGACCTATTTATAACACATAATAAAAGAACTGTGAGAGAAACATTTAGAAATAAACTTGGAAATAAAGCTTGCCAGTAATGATGTTTATAGCATATGAAATATAGTTAAAATAGGATCTTTCCAACTTATATAAAGCTCCAAGCTACTAAAAAATGCATTAAAAAACAAAACAAAACAGAAAAAGGGTAAGGTTACTTGGTGTATGCATGGATCTGTAATTGCTGATAAAGTAATCCCAGTCTATACCAACACATTCCAGACATACACCTCGCAGCCTTTTTCAGATCATGAGAGGGGAAAAAGGGCTTTCCAAATGATCTTTTCTCTCCCTAATTCTCAATTAAGTAAGAGAAAGAAATAAAAGGGAGAGAAGATGTCGTGAAAAGGGAAAATATTAATTTCATCAAGATATAAATTTAGTGACAACTTTTGTTTAAAACAAAGGCTTTATTTTCTCATCCACTGAAGGAGAGTATTACTGATGACAGCAATGCTGATGGCAGCAGCTAGCATTTACTGAGCATTTACCATAATAGCAGGTCCTGTGACAGCAGATATTTTACATAAACTTAGTCACTTAATCTTCATAAACACTCTATGAGCTAGAGAGTATTATCAAAGTTTATAGGTAAAGAAACTGAGGTTCATGAAAACTAAATAAACAATACAAGGTTAGCCACCAAATTGCAAATTTAGTCAGTTTGATTAAATCACTAAGTATACACTATTCTCTAGTAAAAATGTACCTGAGGTGTTATTTTTTAATAGGCATTCTGGTGACTTGGTGGTAAAGAGTTGTGCTGCCAACACAAAGGCAAACAGTTTGAATCCAACAGCTGCCTCCTGGGAGAAAAAAATGAGCTATCTTCTCCCATGCGATTTATGGCCCTTGAAGATCTGTTGGAGGATCAGGTATGAGTCAGTTCTGACTCAATGGCACAAAACCACAGCAACATATATAATATGATCCAAATAAGGGGCATAAAATTTTAAAGATAAGAAACTTGGCACAAGTATTGGCCTTAGTCTTCAAGGAATACCACTTCATTCAGCAAAATAGAAATGGACCTGATAAAACTAATGGTAATAAAGATGATAAAAAGTAAAAATAGTATCAAAATAGTCAATGCTCAATGTAAATAATAGCTCTGAGTCAATCCCTAAACTGCAATCAGTCACAGCAATCCATCTTCCTTCAGTTCTTCTACAATTAAAAACTTCATTAAAAACTCTATTTCAATTCCGCAAAGTAGCAGGATACAAGATCAACATAAAAAAATCAGCTGGATTTCTCTACAGTGACAAAGAGAATACAGAGCTGGGGCTAAGAAAAACAATACCCTTCACAATAGCTAATCACAAGATAAAATATTTGGGAGTAAATATAACTAGAAGCACAAAGGATCTATTAAAAGAAAATTACAAAACATTACTACAAGAAACAAAAAGAGACCTGGAGAAGTGGAAGAACATCCCTTGCTCATGGATAGGAAGACGCAATGTTATGAAAATGGCAATACTGCCAAAGGCAATTTACATGTTCGATGCAATCCCAATACAAATACCAATCCCATTCTTCAACAAGATGAAAAAGGCAATCTCCAGCTTCATTTGGAATGTAAAGAAGCCCCAAATAAGCAAAGTACTCCTTAAAAATAAAAAAAAAAGGTAGGCGGCATCTCACTCCCTGATTTCAAATCCTACTACACTGCAGTGGTAGTTAAGACAGCATGGTACTGGTACAATGACAGACACATAGATCAATGGAATAGAATTAAGAAGCCGAAAATCAGTCCATCTATTTATGGTCAACTGATTTTTGACAAGGAGATGAAATCAGTCAAGTGGGGAAATGACAGGCTTTTTAACAAACGGTGTTGGCAAAATTGGAAAACTATCTGCAGAATAATTAAACAAGATCCACAATACCTCACTCCATATACAAAAACCAACTCAAGGTGAATCATGAACCTAGGACTAAAACCAAGGACTATAAACTTCATTCAAGAAAAGCTTGGAAGAACTTTAGTAGTCCTAATCCACAACATAGAGTCTTCCAAGTATCTGGTAATGATATATCAGATAAGGGACTTATATATAGAATTTATCAAATACTTGAGCGCCCCAACAAGATAAAGGTAAACAATCCAATAGAAAAATTGGCACAGGATATGAACAGACACTTCACCAAAGAAGACATTCAGATGGCCAACAAGCACATGAAGAAATGTTCAAAATTCCTAGCTGTGAGAGAGATGCAAATCAAGACAACTATGAGATATCATCTCACCCTAGTAAGACTAGCAAAATTTAACAGAAGAGCAAGCAACAAATGCTGGCGAGGTAGTTAAGAGGCTGGAACCCTTATTCACTCTTGGTGGGAATGCAAAATGGTGCAACCACTGTGGAAAGCAGTGTGGCGCTTTCTCAAAAAGTTGCAAATAGAGATATCATTTGACCCAGCAATTCCACTCCTGGGAATATACCCCAAAGAGATCATAACTGACATCCAAGCAGATATATGCACACCCATCTTTATCGTGGCTTTGTTAACAATAGCAAGGAGTTGGAAACAACCTAAGTGCCCATCAACAAAAGAATGGATAGGGAAGCTGTGGCACAGTCACACAATGGACTACTACGCTGCATTGAAAAACAAGGAACTCATGCAATATAATTCAAAATGGGTGAGCCTGGAGGACATTATGCTGAGTGAAGTATCTCAGTCACAAAAGGACAAATACTATATGGTGCCACTGTTGTAGAATGGGGCTGACACCGGGATGGGGGTAAGACTGAGAAAAACTGGATAAATTATGTTTATTGCACTGAAGCCAATGAGGGAGAAAATAGTTTAAAAGTAATATATTTTAGGCCATTATGATTATTATAAGAGTCTGGAATGAGGGCTGCAGAGTGGAGTATACTCGGGGTGGGGGTGGGGATGGGGTTTTGCAGGGGGATTGTGTACCAATGGAGTTTTTCTTTTGCTTTTCAAGAAGGAGAGAACTGGGGGCGGGGGTGGTGTGGGCGGGGAGAAAAGTGCAATAATGAATGAATGGAATTCCAAAATCTCTGTAGATGTTCATGGAAATTAATTTTAAAAAAACAAACAAAAAAATCCCCACTCTATTTCATTTGTATTAAAATGAGATAGGTTCCTCTGTTCTGAAGGGGGAAAGATTGCTTCAAATTTTCTATTTTAAAAGAATAACCAATTATCATGAAAATATATAATAAATAGCTGTCAAGGATATCTGAACTATTTTTCTATTCATCACTGTAGAAAAACTTTTCTGTGGTAATGCTCTGATCTTCGATTACCATGTTCAAGTTGTTCTGAAATTAATACTAGAAGTGAAATTGTCATGTGGCAAAAAAGTAACCTAAAATCCTGGTTTGTAAAGGCTAGTATCTAAACATATGTGTGCTCACTATATACATACACAAATCTAATTCACATCATGATCAAAATTTTGCACATTGGCTAGACAACAAATAATACTGTCGCTATGTAATTTAAGGGGATACTGTTGGCCTAGTGGCAAGAAGCTGCACTGCAATCTCAAAGGCAAGAGGCTCAAGACCACCAGCTGCTCCGTGGGAGAAGGATGGACAATCTCCTCCCGTGTAATTAAGTGCCTCTAAAAACCCACCAGACGGTCAGCTATGGGTTGGTTCCAACTTGACAGCACATAACAACAACAATGTGTATGTAACTAGGGTGTCAGAATCCTTGAAAATTGGCTTTTATGGCCACTGTGTTAGCCCGTTAGGGGCATGGTCTCCAGCTACCTAAACTGTGGACACATGTATTTGCAAATCACAAAAAGGCTGTGGGACCAATATAAAATAGTTTTCCATACTGTTAAAAGGATAGTGATGGTGGTGGAGAGATTGTGTAGAGCCAGTGTGGCAAGGTATAACGAGAGGAACTCTGGAGATAAAGGCCACAGGTAAAGGTTTTGCCTGCTAGATGACTGAAGGAAAAGCTAACTTATAACTGGTCTGGGATAAAGTTTGCTGGACTTTCATTATTTGAGGAATTGTGTCTTGCAGTTAATCTGGTTTGAGATTGCTGGACTAAACTTGGACTTGCATTGTGAAATATTACATGCATTCTCCACTCTCCAACCCCTAAAAAAAACCCACAAATGTGAGTAAAGACTGGGAGTCTTGCAACAAACATTGGACTCAAAGACTGATAGAAAAGAGGCAGAGCATAGTGGATGGCATGACCTTGGAGCTATTTTGGTACTATGGATATTACTGATGAAGACTGTTTTCCTTTATGAAGCAGGTATAAGTCAGACTTGGCCACACTTATGTTGCATCTGCTCTTTTATCAGTAACTTAAAGTACACAAAAATATTCATAAACAACTACAGCATTAAACTCATGATGTTATATGACCTCCATCAGTGTTTTTTTTCTTTCTATTGAATTTAAAAGAAGATGTTAAGAAACATCCCTGCAAGGCAGACATCTTGCAAAGACAAGCTCTTTCTCCAGAAACACAGCAAAATGATACTTAAATCTGACAACAAAATATGTCACCAGTAAAGATGTGGTAATCTGTTAATTTTTGTTTCTCAGTTTTTAATTGAATTATTCTTATCTTTTCAATCCAGAAAGATTCCATTAACAATAGAGTGGTTACTGTTAGTGGTTGTTGAGGTGATTTTAACTCATGGTGAAATCACTACGTGTGCAGGGTAGAACTGCTGCACAAGATCTTTAAGGCTCTGATCTTCAGGAAGCAGACCACCAGGTTGTCTTCCAAAGTACCTCTGGGTGGGTCCAAACTGCTAAAGTCAGAGCTATACACAGGCTTAACTAATAAACAAAATACACCATTTCAAGGTGATGCTATTTTTACCTTTGCATCTTCATTGCTCACTCCCAACTGTAGCACAGCTTGAGGAGACTTGAGTTTTGCTTGAGCAGAGTGAGCCATCTGAAGGTTAAGCTGCCACGCAACCGTCTCTAGCTGTAAAAGACAAGAGAAGATTGAACTCAGATGGTACAGAAGTACAAAAATAGTCAACACTAAGCAAATTTCCACTTAACAGGAATGAACACAGCCTGGACTTCATGGAAAGTCAGTCTCAGAGCTCCTTTAACCTACACACTATGCAAATTCTCCCTCTGGGCTCATTAGATTGATCTCTTGCCATGGCTGTCAAATTCCACAGTAAAACTCGTCTTTAAATATACTATATTCTAAAAATAAATGTTCTAAAACCATTCAAGGAAGCATACCACAAGTGCCAGTGGTTTTTATACAGCAAATTGCTATTCAGAAAACAATACTTTTTAAAGACAATAATTTTAAAACATTACAACTGTTAACTACTAAATCATACCTCCATTTTAATTACTTTATATTTTCCTCCAAAACTCTGTGCATTGGATAGAAGACAGGTGATTTTTTTTTTCCTATTTCAAGAGAAAGTAAAGTACCAGATGGTAAAGACTCACCCAGTTAGTTAGTGAGACTGAAACAGAGCCAGACAAAGGATTGGTATCTATTACCAGGTGTTACCCAAAAGACTATCATGCTTTCCAAAGTACTCTGACTTACTATGGTTCCCAGGATGACAAAAACTAATTTGAACCTTTCTTACACTTAGTAAGTAAAACTGAAGCAACAAAATTTAATCAAGTAAAGATTAAAAAAAAAAAAAGCCTAAGATAGTTTAATTTTTCTCTTAAAATACCAGGCAACAAAAACATGATTTGCTTACACTTGACAACTAAATTTTTAGGTTTAATTTTCCATGAATCTTAAATATCAATAGTAAAAGAAGTTTTGTGAAATGCAAGTCATATGCCTCTGGCAACATGACTTTAATAAAGAGTTGAGTGAAGACTACCTTAGCTACAATGAATAAGAATGGTAGCCTCACAACAATTTATATTTGACCAGCATACTAATTGCTTAACTTGAAAGACTGTTCAACAACTAGAATCATGGCAGTGACTCAAAGCCAAGTTGGAAAGAGAGCAATGAAAGTATTATCTGTTCGAGAAAGGATGTGATGAGAAAATAAAGCTACAGTACTGTTCTTTCTGGCACGGAACCTTGTAGAGGTTATGCGTACAAAGGGGAAAGATGTTGCAGAGACATAAACCATAAAGGAAAAAAAATCAATTTAATGGGGACTATTAAGTAAAGATCTTTGATATGCTGAACTTTAACACTAACTACGGTGAGCACTGTCACGGATCCCAGCTCACAAATATTTTTAATAGTCATACATAATACAGTTCCCATAAAACCACGCTGTGCTGTAACTGTTCTCCTAGATCCAAGCATTTTAAACATGTCATTGTCTAACTGAAAAGCACCTTTAGGGCATTCATATGAACCTGTCAGACACTGAGTTGACCATATTACACTAGTTACATTGTTGTTGTTTTGGCTTTCACAAAAGGAGGCAATGACTGACATGTAAATGAAAAGGTATCCCCTTGTGCTTAAGCCTCTAAATGAACTAATATATGCCTATACAATGCATATATACATATATATATGTATATATATGCATTGTATATAGGTAGTCCACAGAAATTGAAAACAGTACTAAGTCTAGCTGTCAAATATGAGTTTGGTTTAATGACAATTTCCCAAGATCTCAATGTTCCCATATGAAATAGAAATAAATCTATCTGAAATACCAACTTGTTGAGTTATTGATAATAGCAAATAAGGCATATTTCAAGCATTCTGAAAACTGAAGAGCATTTTGACTATGTAATTTTTTTCTACAGTGTCCTTTAAGCATTTTTCAAATATTGTGCAGTTTCCATGCTCAAACGCAGGCCCTCATCATCTAGCCCTTCCCAGACATTAACAATAATCTTGTAATTGAGACTGTCTCCTTTCTAACCCTATACTATCATTCTCCTTTCCTTCTTTAAAATTCTCCAAAGGCTCTTTTTAGACAAAGAATAAAATTCAAACTCCCAAATCCTGTATCTACTTACTATACAAAGCCCCTCAAGACAAGACAGCTAGCAAGCTTTCTAGTTTTATGTTCTTTGTTCCCTTGCTCAATATCACCTATTTTATGACTCTTCCTTGTCTCTATCTCTATAGTTCCCTCCTGCAGTACTTTGTACTCCAAAAACGTCTATATGAAGTTTATACAATATACCGCAATTTCCTTCTTGTACATTTATCTCCTCAGCATAGACTTTAATTGTCTTTAGAGTAAGGACAAAACTATATTCATCTTCCTACCTTGACACCTACATCAGTTCCTGAAAAGCAGTAAACATTCAAAAGATTTTTCTCAAGTAAATAATCTATCACATAATATATATGAGCCTTCAAGGACAAGTATTTATATAAAACTTAATGCCAGAAAGGGCAAAGAGTTAATTTTCCACTTAGATATGACCTTGTAGAAGGTAGAACTTCAATCTATAGAGTTAATATTTGCTTACTTCTTTAGACACATACACACAATTACTCACATATACAAAATTAATTTTTGTATCTGCACCCCATAGTATATCTGGCAATCTTACTTACAATGTGATCTCATTTAGATTACAAAGCAGTTTAGAGACTTTACAGTACTCATAGAACTAAACCTAAACAAGTTATACATTAAACTTTCTTGTTCTCAATTTTCTTATCTGCAAAATAAAGATGATAATACCCATTTCACAGAATTGTTGTAACGGAATTAAGTGTTCTAATGTCACATATTGAGTTAATAGTACCTCCTTTCACTAATTCATTGTTCTTTTGACTCTTTTGATCTTTCTAAAGACACAAGTATATATTTAGAATAACTTCAGATAAAATATATTTCAAGGCAAAAATCATCATAAAGGACAAGGAAGGCCACTACACAATTATTAAAGGGTCAATAGGACAAGAATATACAGCAATATAACTATCCATGCACCAAATGAAAGATCTGCAAAATATATAAAACAAACATAAACAAAACTGAAAAAAGAAATAGACAGAACTACTATAGTAGTTAAATACTTCAGTACACCATTTTCAAGAAAAGATAGAACTTCCAGAAAGAAAGCCAACAAAGAATTAAACCACAAAATAAATCAACCTGATCTCACAAATAGGCCAATGTACCAAAAAAAGGCAGAGTACACCCTCTTCTCTAATGTGCAAGGAACGTTCTCCAGAATAGATCACATTTAAGGACACAAAGCAAGAATCAAAAAGCATAGAAATAATACAAAGCATCTTCTCAGACCACAATGCTACAAAATTAGAAATTAATAACAAGAAGATAAAGAACGAAAAACATATATTCTGAAGCTGAAAAACACCTTGTTTGAATATGAGTGGGTACTAGAAGAAATAAAAAATGAAATTAAAAAGTTTCTTGAAACAAGTGACAATGAAAACACAACTTACCAAAACCTCTGGGAAACAGCCAAAACAGTAATTAGAGGTCAATTTATAGCAATTAGCAAATACAGTAAGACAGGGAAAATGACCATTGACTCTCTAACCCAACATCTCCAACAAATTGGAAAAAAAAACAGCAAGAAAACCCACAAAAAACCCTGAAATTATAAAAATTCGGGCAAAAAATACATTAAATAGAAGACAGAAAAACAACTGAAGCCATCAACAAAACCTGCAATTGGTTCTTTGAAAAGGTCAATAAAATCAACAAACCACTAGCACAACTAACAAAAAAAGAAGAAGAAAAAGAAACAAATATCCAAATAAAAAATGAAACAGGCAATTTCACAAGGGAACCAACTAAAATTAAAAGGTTAACAATGGAATATTTAGGAAAAACTAGTCAAACAAATATGAAAACCTAGAGGAAATGGAAAAATACTTAGAAAATCAAAACCTATCTACACTGACACAAGTGGAAATTTAACACCATTACAAAAGAAGAAACTGAGAAGGTAATAAAACAACTTCCAGACAAAAAAAAAATCCCTGGACCAGATGGTTTTACAAGTGAATTTTATCAAATATTCAGAGAACTGTCACCAGTTCTATATAAACTATTTCAGAAAATAGAAGCAAGATGAAATTCTCCCAGACTCATTCTATGAAGCAAAGATATCCTTGATACCAAAGCCAGGTAAAGACACAACCAAAATAGAAAACTATAGGTTAATATTTCTCATGAACATAGATGTAAAAATCTTGAATCATGGTCAATAGAATCCAATGACACTTAAAAAAAATAATTCATCATGACCAAATGGGATTCATAACAGGTATGCAAGGATGGTTCAACATAAGAAAAACAATCAATGTAATTTATCACATTAACAAAGCAAAGAACAAGAACCACATGATCTTGTTAATTGATGCAGAAAAGGTCTTTGACAAAATAGAACACCTTTTCCTGATTTAAATACCCAACAAAATAGAAATAGAAGGGAATTTTCTCAGCATAATTAAAAGTATATAGGCAATCCTGACTACCATCGTTGTTCTCAATGGAGAGAAGTTAAAGGCGTTCTCCTTGAGAACAGGAACTAGGCAAGGATTACCATTCACCGCTCCTCTTCAATATTGTATTAGAAGTATTGGTGGTAGCAGTTAAGACAAGAGAAGGAAATAAGAGGTATCCAAATTGGCAAAGAGGAGGTAAAATTATCTTTATATGCAGATGATATGATAGTATACTTAATAAAACCCTAAAGATTAAGCAAGAAAACTACTGGACAGAGTTGACCAATTCAGCAAAGTGGCAGGATACAAGATCAACATACAAAAGCCAGTTGAATTTCTCTACAGTGACAAAGAGAATAGAGAACAGAGCTAAGAACAACAATACCCCTCACAATAGCTAATCATAAGATTAAATACTTGAGAGTAAATCTAACTAGAAACACAAAAGACTTACTCACAGAAAATTATAAAACATTACTACAAGAAACAAAAAAGAGACCAGGAGAAATGGAAGAATATCCCTTGCTCATGGATAGGAAGACTCAACATTGTGAAAATGATGATCCTACCAAAGGCAA